TATATATATATATATGTATTTATATATATATATATATATATATATATATATATGTAACACAACAACTATATGTGTCATAACGCATTTTCACTATGAGATCTTCTACAATATAAGGTGAACAATTTAAGTAGTTTGACCCTATTGAACAACACAGAGTGATCTTTTTAGGCTTGTTAGATCAACAACAAATTAATTTCTCAGATGTCACCACTTAAACAAGGAAATATAGTACTTCTATTAAGGTAAAATATTTGAGTATGAGTCTATCACAATATTAGTTAGTTTAATAAAGTCTCCTATGGGATTAGCCCATTTATTACTCTCAAAATACAATATCCTTCCAATACTTAGTTAAGAACTAAGTTTTCAATTTCGTACTTTACTCGATTGATTACTTGTAATCGATATAGCTCAATCTATCCCATATGTTGTGATCACTTTATACATGTATGCCTTGACCTTACTCATATACGGTACCAACCAAGGTCCTAAAGAAGACTCAACTATCATTTTTAAGGGTCAACTTCTTGAGAAGAGTTTTCAAAAAATTAAACTCTCGGAGTACCACAACACAATATCCACATAATGAGATATGCAACCTTTAAAACAACATCTCCTCTAGTCCTAAGTTGATCAATACAGTTTTCAACACCATATCAAAATGTTTAAAGTAATTTTCAACATTCATCATATTAGCAACATAACAACATACAACACACAATATATACCTCAACTCACTTTCAACTCTCAAGCGTCCATCATCTCTAATACCATCATATATAAACATATATAATAATCAACATCAAGCAACTTAAAACATGCAATATGTTAATCCACTCTACTCATATTCAATAATTATCAACACCACACACCCAACACTCGGTGCCATCCAAGCAAGGAATTCCTTATCTTGTCCACACCTGACACTACATAACATGTGCCCAGCATGGATAAAATAGGGGTCCCTGTGACCTCGTACCAGGCATGATAAAGTACCGTGTTCAGCCTCATTTTAGGCAAAGATTTTCTGTCTAACTCATGTCCAACATCATCACATTGGTGTTAACATCGTTTAGGCATAGAGTTTTGGCTTGTCCGCATCGGGCACCATCCACCAGGGTCCAACGTCACCAAGTTAAAGACTTTCTAGTGCTCCCGACACTATTTAAACCACGTTCGACACCAGTCCAACCCAAAATGAGTCTTTCTCCTCACGTTCAATACCACCAATCTTGTACCCGGTGTGACAAGATAGAGAACCTCACATTGAAACCGCACTCGACACCTTGAAGGCGTGTTTGACACAATGTGAATTCTACACTTTTACGAATCGTGAAAATCACCTCCCTTCACTGGAAACTTAGCAAATTCAACATAAATTTTGATAATCCATACATACACGACAATAGCATCTTATTTCCAACATAATTTTCAACATGCACAACCTACACAACAAGATCACCCAAAATTCTCCCTCAACATGCAACACACCTTCAAGTCTTTCTAATAATTTCAAGTAATTTCATCGATCCAACCACAAATTAAGAAGTAATCTATCAACATATAATCTCAATAATCATCAAAGATCACATCCAACTTCCCTTAACTCAATATCAACTAGAAAATTTAAAAGGAGAATAACATAAACTTTGCATAACCTCAAGATGCTCCGTACGAATCACACCTCTAGTTTTAAGTTCCTACTGACCTAAAATAAAAACTAACACAAGAATAAACGATTTAGGGAAGAGGAATTGTCATGGAAGGGAAGATCAAGAAGAGAAAGAAGCTCACAAACTAAAGTAAGTTTCATTGGATTTTCTCTCTCAAGGATTTTGAAGAACTTAACTTATAAGACTCATTTCTAAATAGAAGCCTTAAATACCTCCCCATAGAATTAACACAAAACAACAATCTACACAAAACATATAATTAAATAAAATAAACAACAACACTCTAAGATTCATAATGGTACATATTTTCTTTTCTTTTAATAAAACTTACCATTAAATTTAAACATGTAAACACCTATTTTGCAACTTTAATAATTTTTCATAGTATGATTTAATGAATAACCAAATTTTAAAATTATACTATAGTCTTGTTTGGATAAATTTTTTAATAAGTATTTGTAATAGAAAAATAAAAGATAGATTAATTTTTTTTATAAATTA